TGCCTGTGAAATGACAAATATTGTAGAGACTGTAATCATATTTACAACTTGCGTCAATGACTCCAGATCCCAGTTTTTTGTTTGTTTGCATCATCGTGCTTTTACAATTTTTCCCTGACTTGTCAGATACATGTATGCAAATGTGACTCGTGATTACTTTGTCCACTGTGGGATATTTGTTGTGACGAAAGGCAATGTGTAATTTATTATAATAAAACAGAGCAGTTTGTTATTAGGAAGCAAACGTCCACAACTGCAAAGATCAGAATATTTTGTCACATGATGGTAGAAGGTAAAGGTAAGAAAACAAGTGAACGTCACTGTTACGTTCCCCTATAAAGTCCAAGGGATGTGGTAAGTAACTACCATTAAGACACGTCTAATAACCAAACACAGAAAGAAAAGAAAGAAAAAAACACTAACTGAATAAATAAACTAACAGATCCCACGAGAACCATGACAAAGAGTAACAGAGCAGCAGCACCTTGAGGAAAAAGGAACATAATGTGTTTCTGCTGCTGATCTAGCAACTGAGCATTTAAGTGTTTGACTCGTAAACTTTACTTCTGTATGGAAGAAATAAATGACAAAAAAAAGATAATTTCAGTTTGACAGTGAAAAATAAGAAGATTAATGTGTTACATGGGGATCTACTGTGCTTTTCCCCATTTTCTGCTGTATACTCTCAGATATTATAAGGAAAATGGTCAAAGTTTCAAAATAATGAGGTCAGTTTCAGACAGAATTTTTTTCTACTATGCATTCAGTTTGATGTCAACATTGATCAGAAATCGTTTGCTTTTGTCTGAATAATTCTGCTTGAGACTATTATTATAACCCAGGGGTAGGCAACTCCAGGCCTCGAGTGCCAGGTTTTAGATGTGTCCATGATCCATCACAGCTGATTTAAATGGCTAAATAACTCCTCAGCATGTCTTGAAGTTCTCCAGAGGCCTGGTAATGAACTAATCATTTGTTTGTATGCCTCGCAGGACTGTTCGTACACAGC